TGATGAGATTTGAAAAATTTGCTTTCCGGACAAATTTCGCTCGTGAAAATTTAGTCATTAGGTTTGGCTCTATGGAGCAAAATACTTTTCTTTTTGGAAGAAAGGTCTTTTTTCTGAAGTTGGAGAGTTCAAAATGTGTCTGGAAGTGAAGTCCAGCATATAGATATGAATAAGATGGTCATGTAAAACTCACGTCAAATGTTATATTCTTACGACTCATATGTGCTAAAATTTAATGTGAACACTATTGAATAATGATGTTTTTCCGTAAAAAACCGGGTTGTTCCACATATCAACATCAAAAATTGATGAAATATTAATAAGAAAGTTTCACAAATCCTTAATTTTTCATGGTATGCTGGACTTCTTCTTTAGACACATTTTGTAGTCTACAACTTCAAAAAAAAACGATATTTCTTTCAGTAAGAGAAATTTGTCCTTCGCGTACACACAAACTGAACTCTTCTCACTTAAAAGCAATTTACTTTTTGAATTGTGTTGAAATTCGAAATAGGTTCAAACAGTTTCTGAACGTTTGAAATATCGTACAAATTTATATGAATTACGCGAACAAAGAAAAATAAAACCAATTGTATTATATAATATGTTAACAAATCTTTTATATGAACGACGATTTGGTCCTTATTTTGTATATGCACTGGTTGTTGGTCTTGATCCTAAAACTGGTGAAACATTTGTTTATGATTCAGATAATATTGGAGCAATTAGTGACAATGTTAATTTAGCTACAGTTGGAACAGCTAGTGACTATATATTTGGTCTTGGTATGATAATATTTTTTTTTGTTTGAATTTTTATTAGTTTATATTGTTTTATTAGGTGAACTTTTTTTTAAACCAAATATGAATCCAGATGAATTATTTGAAGCAACATCTCAAGCTTTACTTAATGGTGTTGATCGTGATTCTGCTAGTGGTTGGGGTGCAATTGTTTATGTTATTGAGAAAGATAAGATTACATTACGAGAATTAAAAGGTCGACAAGATTAAAACAACATTATAATAAATGTTATTTGTTATTCTTTTCTTTTTCACTTTTTTTCTTTGTCATTCGAATACCTAGTGAAAAAAAAACAAACAAAATCTACTGACTTAATCAGATCCTTGTTTTTATTACTTCTCAACTGAGTCTCATAAACATAAAATAAAAACAAAGCAATAGAAGAACAATGTTTAATATTAAAACTATGTATATATTATGGTTCAATTGATTTTCTCTTTTGTATTACTCGTGTTGAAGACTGTTGCAGTTTGTTTCTTTCTTTCTTTCTTTGATAATTATTATACACCGGGAAAGTACTGCCTTCGCTGCATCGTATAAAAAACTAAAAATACATCAGAAAAATAAGGCGATCATTTTTTTTTCATCACAATATAAGTAAGAGGAAATAACTCTAATTCTTGTATGAGAATTTATTTACATGCGAAGGCTGTTAAAAAAGGAGAGTTTGCATATTCAAACAATAAAAGAAATTATGTGTGTTCATACATGGAAAAAGCATGCCATCACAGGCCTTTTGGAGTTGAAATACGGAACTTACATGCTTTCTTTGTGGCTTCATTTTACAAATACAAAATATATAAAATGAAAAATCTCAAACTTAATATCATTGTGTGCCTACGGTAATCGATCGCCATTGAAACTGCTTGTCTTTTGTATTTCTACATTTCGAAACACAGCATTCGTCGTTTATACTTTGCGTGTTTTTTTTACTGTAACAGAATCTGTAACTTATGCCATGATGATCAAGAGAAAGACAAGTCGGTAGAAATTCGTGAAGTTCTGAAAAGTCGTTATCTTTTTCTGTTTTGTGTTGCATATATTATATTAGGATATAATCGTTCCTTGAATAAAGGATGAATGGATGAGTTGTTACATCAAAATAAGAGTATTTTTCTTTGATAGGTGAAAACAAGTATCAGGGTGTTCAGCGATAATTTGTTAAAAGTTACATCAAACGAAAAAAAAAGAACTTAAAAAAACCACAGAATCTGTATACTGAGATTTTTACCCTAAAGACCATTTTTAATGAGTCGATTAGAATAAATGACTTTGCTGTTTCACTTGACTAATGTTCAAACTCGAGTCATAACTGTTAGCAATCATCTACATCTAGAAATTTAGAAATATAGGTAGTTAGTTTGTCAAATGTGTATCTCCTCGTTCGTTACAACCAACTTGAGCAAGGAGAACATGGTATTCGAGTACTTTGGAGTATCTAATTAGAAGTTTGAGGACAATTCTTCTCTTGAGCTAAAGGTTCAAAATAGAAAACAGAAGAAATAAATGGCTAGTTATTTTACTTGTGATAATAAATGGACATGCAAGGAGACTCATTAATTTGTATCAAAGACTTTAAATTTTTTCGATACTAATAAACTCCAAAATCAATGGACCTTTTGCGGTGAATTCTATCAGCTGTTATCTATTCTATTGCAAACTCGAACGATGTTTAATCCACTCTAGGAAAAAAAAATGTTCGATTTTGTTTTGTAAATCTGAAAAAATGGTGCATTTGTTTTGGATATAGTAGATAGAGCTGGTAATAACTGACAAAAAAAAGAATTGTACACTTCGTAAGTGTGAATATTTAAAACATGCAGTCTCTGAGATAAAGTAACCGGGTTCGATACAAACCTAATTGTAACTAGCTGATAAACAATCATATACTACACAGGGACGTACCAAAAGAGAAAACTAAGACGTTCTAACTTTTCCCTCAGGAAAGATTTCTTGAAGCAATGCAGAGGGAAAAATTTTTGTAAACCTAAAAGTTACGATTTTTGACTGTTTCGCCTTCTTTTAATAAAATTCAGTCCTCTTCTAAAAAGATATGCTTACGTGCTGAATATGAGATAGTAACGGGTTGGAAAGAGGAACTTGCCGGCTTTTGATGGGCTGTTTTCTTTAGATAGACTGGATGAGAAAGTTTTGTTCAGATGTTAAAAGTTAGAGAATTTTGTGTAGATCTTATTGATATGTTCTTTGCAAAATGAACATTTGTCCTTCTCTTGTAGTATTAAAAGTGCTGAACACTACAAAAATATCATTTGCTCAGCATTTTACTAGCATAAAATGTCATTTTTCTTTGTTAAATAATTTTACATATAGTATCCAAACGCAATATTAAAAGCTACAGAAAAGTATTTGTTTCTAAGACACAGTACCAACTTTGTGAACAAAAGTTCGCCATTCGAACAACCACTTGCAAAAAATGCCTATATTTTCTATTTGTGGTACCTTTTTGCGTCAAGGAATAAATTTCAGCCTTATTACTAGGTTAGAAAAGCAATTCAGCTTTTATAATGAAGAGCATTGTATAGAGCTTGAAATTCTGCATCTGTTGATATAAAAAGAATAGGTTTTTGTAAATTCAAGTTTTGACAGAATTGCCAACGAAAAGTACGATTTCGTTGACCGAGAATGTTTTCTGATTGTATTGCGTTTTTTGAAACAGAAACAACTAAACATATAAAAACCAATACATCACTAGCCGTATCAAAAAATTCTGCATCGCTTAGTATTAAGAAGAAATTTTTGAACTAAAACTAACTGAACAACAATTGATTTTCAAAAGTTTCTGATTTTGTCGTTGAGCAGTTGGTTTTTTTATGATATCCCGTACCTATAATACTACAAGAGAAGAGCAAATGCTCATTTTGCAAAGAACATACCAATAAGATGCGCATAAAATTCTCTATCTTTTAACATCAGTGCAAAACTTTCTCATTCAATCTAACTTGAGAAAGCAGCCTATCAAGAGCCGACAATCCTGTGCCCTATCCGTTATAAAGAAGCGATGCCAATCGATTTTTTAAAGTTCAACTGGTTTTGAAAAACTTTATCGCAAAATACTATTAGAAGATGATATCAGTTGCAAGCCTATTTATGGTTGGTTTGAAAATAAAAGTTCAAGTTAGCTGATGAAAAATTGTTGATGTCATTCTGATATGTACATTTAGAGGTGTTCTAAAAAAGATTAAAATTGTAATATCAATTCACGCTAACACAGACAGATGTAGAAGCTTTTGAGTGAAGTCCGAGTCTATACATTAGTTCTACTCGAAAGAAAATGATGTTTTCGAAAGATTGAAGAAGACATATCCCTCTTTTTTGTGACACTTCTATTTGGAACAGCTCTGTATACATTCTATGTTATTGAGCCTATATCAAATCCCTTCTAATTATGTTTCTAAATGTTTAGTATATTAGTATCTAAAAGATCTGATTCAAACTTTTTCCAAATATATTAAAAGTTGTTAAATTGACACTCCTGAGTCAATTTTGATTGTAGGGTGTGGGTGTGGGTGTGGATGTGGATGCGGATATGAATGATGGTAAGATAATTCCCAAGACCCACACACCACACCCACACCAACCAAAAATTTACATCTGTCATAATGTAAAACGCAGCAAGGCGAATAGAAAAACTTCCATGATCGCCTAAATGTGATCCATTTCCTCGAGTTATTCTCTTATATATTCTAGATTTTGACTTCGTTGAATATTTGCAGATGCCTCTGTTGAATCAAGTCAACTGTACGTAGTAAAAACAGATCATTTAGATTGAGATATAAATTTATTACTGATAATAGGAATGAAGTGCATCGGCAACATAGTACGGATGAGAGTACTGTTTTGGAACCGTTAGTAAATTCCGTTTATAAACTACTAGTGTGAGATCGATGAGTGAATTGTGTATTGAGAGAGTGAGAGGGAACACCGATGAGATCACCAGATGGCAGCTGGAAGTGTCTTTGTTCTGTATCTGCGCCTACCATCAACAGTGGCATCACATTCAGATCCTCTTCTACAGTTTCAGTCATGTTCGAATCTGTCTCCAAAAGTTGAGTAACATCGGAATCCATATTCATTAGTTGAGTAATCTTATCATCAGCAACTAGACGTCGGGTAACCAGCAGAAGATATCTAACCATAAAGAGAAATAACCTAACTTTATTACACAGATTTAATAATGCTTACATATTGAGAATGAATGGAATCGCATTGAGACCGGCAGCAAGTAGAAAAGTGAAACTTCGATTGTATACTACAGTATGAGCATAGAACCAATTGAAGAACGAACCACCAGCAGCCATCATTATCACGTGTGTTTCTGTAACAAATGTGAACGCATGACTACGTTCGTGTGGCTCCAACCATTTGGATATCATTGACCATGTCAATGAACCTTGATATGTCGTAAAAGGATTGATCAATAATGTAACATACATAGCCCAATTATGTTGAGCAAATGCAATCCAAATAGCTGAACCACAAAAAAGAATGTGACTAATAACACAGATGAGTGGATCACTAGCGCCGAATCTCGTTAACGCTTCTATGCCGAGTACACGTAGAACTGCGGATGCGATCGAGGATAGTGCTGAATAGTTTCCGATCTCTTTGGATGACCAACAAAATGGAACACCGAGAAGGTACCAAAGAAATACAGCCATCGATGACGATGTAAACGTGTAGAAAGCAAAGGCCAATAGTGTCACGTAGAGACTGATCGATTTTTTATGTGATCGACGATTAAATGTAAATACAGTAAATACTTCGAAAAATTCGGTCCATGCTTTCGACGGTTCTCTGATGTGGACATTATTGGCGTTGGTGGATAGTTCTACAGAATGATTTCTACATCGTGACGTTGCTGAAGTTTCGACAATGAAATGACTCGGTTTAATGAAACGAAGACCAACTACAATTGACAACAATTGCAAGACCAAAGCGACCCAAAATAGATCAGTAAAACCACGCCATGCTATGTAATAACCAACTGCAAATGATGCCACTGCTGATAGACTCGTTGTTATTGCACCAAGAAGAACAAAACGAGACGAACGTTCACGTTCAGTTGTACAACTGGTAACAATCAAATGGAGTACAAAGACTATATGAGAAATAAAACAAAAACAAAAGGATATAAACAAAACGGTTTAGAGAAAGAAAGTGAGTTCTACTATACTGAGAACACTTCCAGAGCCTGACAGGCCTACGATAATTGAGGCAATAATCCACCAGTAATCTGCCAAATGAAAATAGATGATTGCTAACCAAATACTAATTTGAATAGATAAGCCAGACATCGGTATCATAGCTACCAATCGTATTCCTAATCTTGGCGTGTAAACACCGAGTAAGTAAGTTGCAATAATTACTGGGATACCGTTCGATAGATCAATCCAAAAGAATAGATTAGCCGAACGTTGTTGTGCCCAAGCTTGAGCTCCACTAGTCACAATGTGTCCATTTGTTGTACAATTTGTATTATTGTTAATTGTAGTTAAATGATGAGCATCAGTATTAGAACTATCGTTAGAATAATGCGGTGCAATAATCATTGAATGTGGATATGTTTGTAAATAGAATCTATAGACATATTGTCCAACTGTCGAACGAATACAGCCGCACAGTGTTTCAAGGCACAGGATAGCCCCAACAGCATAAAGATTGAGATTAGACATCGTAGGATAAATGACAATTGATATATAACTTGATTAAACTTATTTTCTTTTGTAACTAAGAAAAATTACACACACCGTTGCTGCATATAACCATGTATCGTTACGCAGTTAATAGCGTCTCTGTATCGACAATTTATGTGTAGTTCTTCGTCACTCGGTTGTTTGTTATTCTTTCTTTTCATGTGTGAGTAAACAATCTAACGCGTGCAAATAAATGACTCGCTTCTCGTCTGCATCATGTGATGAAGACGCAAAAGAATGATTTGCAGGAAGAAAAAAAAAGGTTTATTCTCCTCTTCACCCATATATACTGTACAAATTTTGCTGCAGTGAAAACGGTTGGCAGAAACGAACACGTTGTTTACATAAATACATTCTGTATTCATGTAAAAAAAGACTGAAAATCTGATTTAAGTCGATTTTTTCGGAAAAAGCTGCAAAAAAATCAATTAAGTTACATTTATTGATTAAATTCGAGCTAACTTTCGATTATAACCGATTTCACTCAGTAAAAATAGATTGAAATCGATTTTATTCAAGGAATCGGAATAATCGATTAAAAATCTAACTGATTTTAGTCGAATACTTCGAAAAGGATATGAGTGTGGATGTCACTTAAGCAAAGAAACACATCCCACACCTGCACCAACATCCATACATTCACAACCACGTTTTCTGTCAATCTCGTCGGAAAAGATGAAAACGTTTTTTTTTTCTTAAAACAAGACTTCCACTTTTTTTAAAACAGGTTCTCTATCATTTTTCTTTCTAAATAAGTTACATTTTTCACTGGAATGTATCGTCTACATGACATGGTAAAGTATGGGATTTTAGCGTGATAGAGCATTTCGAGACAAAATTAAAATATTGAAAAAGTGTTCTTATCTACAACGAGACATATTTCGAGAAGGAATTTAACAATTTGTTTATATCCAACAAAAACATAAGACGCCATTCAACGTAGCTGATACTACTGTCTGTTTAGAAAAAGAATGGTCGTTGTCATTTTTGCGATAACTCAACAACAGGAAGAGCTAGAGAGTTGTGGTTTTCACCAGTCGATAGAAGAGACTTTGGAACGTCTTTTTTTCCAATATTGCATAAGATGAAATCATTTTAAAATCAAGCATTTTTATAAAACATCAAAAAAATGTACAAGAATTATCTTTCGGTCAGATGAAATTTTCACAAAAAGTAACAAAATTTGCTTAAATTATAAGAGAAATCCATATTTTTCGAGCGAGCAAATAGAGAATTTGATTTGCTTAACAATAGAATGTATGAAGATAATCACTCGAAGTATATTTTAAACTATAGAACTGAAGTCCCACTATCTAAATCATATATCAAAATCAAAATTTCATCGGAATAACAAACTGTCTTCCTGCACTTTTTACAATGTTTTCCAAAAGATGTTTGATTTTAGAATGACTTCGTCATATACAATATTGGAGAACGAGACGCCTCGGAGTCGTCTCTTTCGACTGATGAAAACCACAGCCCTAAAGCTCTTTCTGTTGTTGAGTTATTGCAAAAATGACGACGGCCATTCTTTTTCTAAACAGACAGTAGATAGACTGGGTGATTCGGTTGCTTTGAAACCTTGGTATTGACTTCGAACAAAAATGAGTGCTGTTTTGATAAAGATATTTTCATGAGCAAAGATACATCTATATGTTTCTTGAATTCTTCTTGCTCTATTCGTCTTCTTACAGCTCACTTTCATCGATAGAACTTCATACAAAATCTTTATTTGGATTGTTAACCCACCTCTTTGAATGTTTGCAATGTATTTCTTTCGTGATGTTGCCAGAATGATGACTCAATTCTTTCTTTTCTTTCATTCTCTCTGAATAGTTTTGTTACGCTTTTATTTTGTTAATGCACATTTTCT